AAAGAAATGAGCCAATTGCCTTTCACACTGCAGAAATATAGCACTATTATTCTATGTTAACTGCCACGGTTCAATCTTATGGAATCCTGGGATTTGCAGTTTAGGGAGGAGGAAATATTTAGAATTTTCTACCAAAGTGCTCCAGGGCCTCTCTAAACTACAAACCCCAGAATTCCCTAAGATGGAACCATGTTAATTATAATGGAATAATAATAGCTCTGTAATTCTGTAAGGAGAGTCAATGTGGTGGAGTGGTTTAAGTGTTGGACTATAACTCTGGAGACTAGGGTTCGAATAATTGCTCAGCCATGTAAATCCAGTGAGTGACCTTGGGCAAGTCACAATCTCTCAGCCTCTGAGGATGGCAATGGCAAGCCCCCTCTGAAGAAACTTTCCAAGAAAACTGCTTGATAGGTTCACTTTAGGGACACCGTAAGTCAGAAACAAACAATTCTGTATTGTGAATGGGTCCCTGATCTCAGAGTCCGTCTAGCATTCAAGCTGAAATACCACACTCTCTCTCTGCTACTTATTTATCATCCTTATTAACTCTAACAAATCACACTCACTCTTCTCAATTTGTCCATAATCCTCGCTGAACTAAGGTCCAAAACACACTGCAGAAATAATCCAGTTTGAGACCGCTTTAACGGCCCTGGCTCAGTGCTAGGAAATTCTGGGAACTGCAGTTTTATGAGCCATTTAGCCTTCTCTGTCAGAGAGCTCTGGTGCCACAATAAACTGCAATTCCTAGTAATCCCTAGCACTGAGCCAGGGCCGTTAAAGAGGTCTCAAACTGGATTATTTCTGCAGTGTGTTTTGGACCTAACTAGCTGTCTTAACTGACCCAAAACAGAAAACTCCTTCCTCTTATTGTCTCATCTCTGACTCCATTCTTCAGAGTCACTTCTAACTAGTCCCTATCCTTAACAGATTCACACTCGTCACTCACTATCATACACTTTCACAACACAACAACATCTTGACAAAGTGTAGAGCTGTGACTCTAGCATCGTCATGTTTTTCTTTCTTCTGTATGAGTTTTAAAGTCATTGGAGCTCTGAAAGCTTGCATCATGTATTTTGTACATTTTGGTTGTCCCCTTAAAGGTATCACTGTTTTGTGGATTTGGGATGTTATCGTAATTTGTCATACGTACAGCATATGTTCTGTGGATACCATAGGTTGCCAAAAAACAACAATAACAACCACCAAATAAATGGATCTTGTATCATATCAAAAAATCAGATTTCAGGAAATTAGAAGAAGACTAAGAAGGACAGCTATGAAAGAACTAGAAGATCCTAAAGAGCAAAGATATACAAGTAAGCATGAAAGTCAGAATTGTACAAGCCATTGTATTTGTTGGGGATTCTGCAACTTAAGCATGCTGAATCCTTCTAGGAAGACAGATGCATGTCTATGATAGCTTATTGTTCTATGACCCACTCAATTTCCTCCTTCTCTAAGAGCACACTTCTTCTTTGTCTCTGGAGGGATCACCATTAGGTTTCTCCTCCTTTTGTCCTCTGACCGGAGTAGCATGACTTTCTAGCACACCGATAAGAAACTTTCTCTGCAAGCATGTAGACTATTTTCTACCGCATTTTCTTTGCAGCATGAAGCTTTACCTGTGTATGAATATGCACATGATTTTGTAAGTAAATTTATCTTTTTATATTACTCTAAGAACTTTGTCTTAGTTCTTTCTTGGAAGACACATGGGGGCTGGAGATTAAAAAGTGGACTAGTTTATTTTCCTGCTCCTGCACTTTCTGCTGTGTTCATTTTGCTGGTGAGATTAAATCAATTTCTCCTATTTTCCTGAGCTTTCTAACGAATCGCAAGAAAAATTCTATCAGTATTCCCTAATACCATGTATAGTAATAATAATAATAATAATAATAATAATAATAATAATAATAATAATAATAATAATAATAAAATTTATTTCTACCCCGTCCCTCTGTCGAACAATCGGGGTGACTTACAACAATTAAAATTACATACTTATCTCAAAATACACGCTAAAATCCCCAAACCCACCCGCCCTTTAAAAAAGTATTAAATCAAAAATCCATTAAAACAACATAAATAAAACATCAAAATTATAGATGTGAGAGGTGGACAGTTAAGAAAGCAAAAAGGAAGAAAATCAATTCATTTGAGAGGTATTGCTGGAGAAGAGTGCTAAGAATATCATCAATGGCCAAAAAGACAAACAAATGGGTCCTAGAGAAGATCAAGCCAGAAATCTCCCTGGAAGCCAAGATGATGAAACTGAAGCTGTCGTACTTTGGCCACATCATGAGAAGGCATGGCTCATTGGGAAAAACAACAATGCTAGGAAAAGTGGAGGGAAGTAGATGCTAGAATTTATGGGAACTAAGCAGAGCATTGGAGGATAGGGAGTCTAGAAGATGTCTCATCCACAGGGTTGCCATGAATCAAGATCAGTTAACAACAACAGCAATAGCAAATATCAAATCAAGCCAAACTCTTCCTAGAAGATGACTAAACAGAGGCTGTTATAATTTTTTGTGGCTTTTTTGGGCTGTGTGGCCATGTTCTAGAAGAGTTTCTTTCTGAAATTTCGCCAGCATCTGTGGCTGGCATCTTCAGAGAATGCTGGAATGGAAGAGAGTGGGTCCAGTCTCCAGGTGTCTTGGAACAGTTTCTCCCCGTAGAGGTTTCCAATGTGAAGTTGTAGGATTTCATGGCCGACATCCATAGTTTTTTGTGGGTTTTTCGGGCTGTGTGGCCATGTTCTAGAACAGTTTCTTTCTGACGTTTCACTTTCTGATGTTATACTTTGTTCGTATCACGAAAAGACAACACTCATTAGAAAAGACAATAAAGCTTGGCAAGGCAAAAATCAGTAGGAAAAGGGGGAGACCACATTCCTGGTAGATAGTCTGAATCAAGGAAGCCACAGCTCTGTGTGTGCAAGACCTGAGCAGAGCTGTTGATAGCTGGGGGAGTTGGAGGTCTTTCATTCATAATGTCACCATAAGTTGAAGTCAACTTGACAGCAGTTACAACAATGTCATTACATCAAAGCTTAAGTGCTGAGGGAATGTGATGATTTAAATGTGATGACTAATTGGTGGCTGTTTCTAAAGTGGAGCCTTCCTGTGTGTGTAGGTAGTTTTTATGTTAATGATATAATTAAAAGAAGATGGGGCAAATGTGACTTGGGACTACAGTATTTGTTGCTGTAGTTCTCTAGATAATCCTCTCACCAGCTGCAATGTTTTATTCCCACTCTCAAATGGTTTCTTTTTAAATCTGAGACATACAGTAGAACCAACCTGATTCTGTTTCATTTCTGAAGCTATTCAGTTAAAATAAACTGACCTGGGGAATGGGATCAAATTGTCACTGGAAGCTGAAAGGAAATATTTCAAAAGATCATTTGGATTTCTAAAATAAACCCAGAAAGTACAAGAACAAAACCCAGGACTTCCAGGGTTTGCTTGTTTGATCCACCTAAAAATAAAAGTCTCCCTTTCATGTTCTTTTTCTTTTGGGCCTAAGTACCCTAAAAGCACCAAATCTTGTCTGACCTTGGAAACTAAGCAGGGTCAGCCCTGTTTTGTATGTGGATGGGAAACCATCAACAACTCCCATGTTCTGTAAGCTATATTTCAGAGGAAGGAACTGGGAAAACCACCTCTGAATATTTCTTGCCTAGGAAAACTCTATGAAAGTCAGAGGTCTCCATAAGTTGACAAACAACCTGAAGGCACACACACACACACACACACACACACACACAAGACTTACAGTGATAGCACACACCAGTGAAATGGCATTTTTATACAACAATACTATAAGAAAAAAGCATTAATTGAGAGGGAGAGAAATTGCCCTCCAAATCATAGAACCACTTCAGCAAATCATAGAACCACTTCAGCAAACCATGCCTTGTATTTTTAAAAGTGTGTGACTTTGGAAGAGCCCTTGTACAGATCCAAGAAATAGTTAGAAGCAACCCCCATAAAGAATGGAATGAGTGAATGTGGCAGCAGCAACAACTGGAAAAACCCAGGAAACCCCCAAAAAGCTATATTGTGAAATTCACACTTTTTAAAACCTTTCTGGAAGAGTCCAGTGATGCAGATTCAGCTAAGATGTCACTTGGCACTAAAGTCACTCAGCACTAAAGCCTTGGAGTCTTTTTTCCCCTTTCTTCTTTTCATGCATAACGCAAGGGGGAGCTAAAGTTGTACAGATGGATGAATGAGAAACCCTGCAAGATCATTATCCTGGTGTATTGGAAATACTGAATTGCACTAGCCAGGTTTCTTATTGCTGTGTGCTTTCAAGTCGTTTTTGACTTATGGCGACCCTAAGGTGAACCTATCATGGGGTTTTCTTGGCAAGATTTGTTCAGAGGAAGATTTGCTCCCCTGAGGCTGAGAGAATGTAACTCACTCAAAGTTACCCAGTGAGTTTCATGGCCAAGCAAGGGATAAAACCCTGGTCTCCAGGGTCGTGGTCCAGTGCTCAAACCACTACACCATGCTGGAGCCAGGTATAGATTGTAAAAGCCAGGGGCAGGAGAGCTCCACCTAAGAACATTTAGAATTGAATAGTGGTCCCCAAGCACCGTCCTACGATAGTGATAGATGGCTTCTGCATGAGATTTATATCCCTTCTTTCCAAGACCTCCATGTGCTCTGGGGAGTTTTCCAAATTAACCTTCCCACCACCAGCAGCAGCCAGCTGTAAAAAGAGAAGAGTCTCCACGTTGCTGCTATTGTCTAACAGCCTCGGAAGGATGCAAAAGAAGGCAGAAGTTTCATTTCCATAAAGCACATGTTGTTTTTGTGGGGCAAGATCCTACTCAGAGTTGGTAGTGAGTCAGGTTCTTCTAATGTGTTCTTGTTCTTGTTGTTGTGTGCCTTCAAGTCGTTTCTGACATATGGCGAACCGAACATGAGGTTTTCTGGGGCTGAGAGTGCGTGACTTGCCCAAGGTCAACCAGTGGGCTTCCATGCCTAGATGGAGAATTGAACCCTGGTCTCTAGAGTTATGGTCCAATGCTCAAACCACTAGGCCATGCTGGCTTGTGTACTTACTTGTAATTACTGCAGGAGTCTGAGAAAGTCTGAGATAGTCTCTAGTGGCAGTAAGAGATAGATTGCCCAGTGTATCATTACAGCCAGCGAGGTCCTTTTCACTTGAGGGACGGAGTTATTCATTGCTATTTAGTAGTCATTTTATAGCTGGGCAGAAGCATTGTATAAGGCCAGGGGCACCAGTAGGAAGGTGCAGGAGATGCGGACCTCACCTGGTTACACCAGCATCTGCTTTTTGGCAGAAATGGGCTGTCAATCCCTTTAAAACGCTGCAGTTCAGCAGATGAGATGGTGTGAGCAGAGTGAGGCTCAGCTGGAGGAGAAAGGAGAGGTCTCAGAGTTTTAAAAAGATTAAAAATTAAAAATTATATATTTATATTATTTTTTTAAAAAAATAAATAAAACATCATCTCTTATGAAATGTTCACATTAACCACATGAAGCTATGTACATGTAAATGCACTTAGGCTGTGCATAGGATATTGTAATTTAAAGGTATTATTTTAATTTTGCTACTTCTTTATTGCCATTATATTTGCTGGGAATTACAATGTATGACTAACATTCATGCAAAAACATTACTAAGGATTCCATATGCTGAGGTATGGAAGGAGATAAATGGGGTGTGAGTTGCTGCACCGGGTGATGCTAATGCTATTGACGCCACAGTGTCAGATGGAGCTATATACCTCCTTATGCAATATCAGAAAAAGTGAAGCCACAAAGAAATGCTAGCCACATTCTGCTAAACGTTCAATAACCGATGCCTAAAATTTGGGGGCAAAATATACATTTCCGGGATTCATTTTTTAAAATTTGGGGTAGGTTGCCATCAACATTGTCAGACAGAGTGCTGCTGGGGCATTCTTCTCCCACGGAAGTGATTAGAATTTTGGCCTTGTGGCATCTCTCATTAAATTTCTTTTGAACATCATTCACATTGTTTTGAACACAGTGACATCTTTGTTACCGAAAATGCAATTTTCCTAGATGTGAACATGGTACTTGTAAGACATTACAGTCCTTCCAAGTTCTGGTTGTGATCCGTTTGGCAAAGACAAATCTTTATGGTTTCACTGAATTGGCTTCTCACACCGCTGCTCCTTATCGCCTTTTCCCAACTCACCAAAGTCCTGTCCTTCACTAGAGCTTTTCAGATCCTGCCAAATCTTGCTTTCAGCAATGTGGATTCTATCAAATCTTGCTCACAGGTGCAGCCCTAGGAACTGAAATAAATAAAAGAACAGCAACCAAAGCATTAAGCACTCTGCCACTGTTATGGTTAGCTGGAGCTGCCGTGTTTCTCAGAGATGTCAAAGGGTTAATCCTCCAAGGATGGATGTAAGTGTATCTGACTTCAAACTAGCATGAATTTCTCTGCTCAGGCATCTGTAAAAATACATTTGCATAATATCTGCATGGAGTAAGAATCGTGTGGTGCTTGGTGTAAACAATTGTTTTGATCGGATTGTCTGACCCATTTTTGCAGATCTCAGTGTAGTGCCGCAGGAGCACGCCATAATAAAAAGAAGCAAGCAGACAGGGAAGGTCACTGCCAAATATGAATATATGAATAATAATAAAGTGGAATATAACCAGATGAGAAGGCAATCCAGGGGGAGCAGGGCTGGACACAGATGCTTTCTAGACCCAAGCAGCTGCAAAATTCACTCCCAAAGAAGCTTCTCCCAGATTATATGTGATCTGTTATTGTTAATTGCCATCAAGTCAACTGCAATTTATGGCAACCTTATGAATGAGAGATCTCCAAGGGTGTATCCACCCTGAGGAATTAAAGCAGTTTAACACCACTTTGACAGCCATGACCCTATCCTACAGAATCTTGGGATTTGTAGTTTGATTAGGCACCAGAGCTCTCTTACAGACCAGGCTGAATACCTCACTAAACTACAGATCCCAGGATTCTATAATTGACACCATGTGATAAACTCTGGGCACCTTGTTTCTGACCGCAGAGGGAACAACTCACATCAGTGGCAACAGGAGCAGGCGACATAGCAGGGATGCTTGTATAGACAGCCCCCCAGCATTGCTATGGAGCAGGGGTAGGCAACCTAAGGCCCGGGGGCCGGATGCGGCCTCCCAAGGCCTTTGGACCGGCCCCAGGCTGGTCCTGCCGCCACCGCCATGATGATATTGATTATTGTTGTTATTACTTGTTCTTGGGGTTTTCTTGGCGAAATCTCCACAGGGGTTTTGCCATGGCTTTTCTGGAGCTGAGAGAGTGTGCATGCATATTTTTAAAATTTTTACATTTTTTTTTACATTTTTTAATTTTTATTTTTATTTATTTATTTATTTATTTTTGGTGCTTCGGCCCCCCAATTGTCTGAGGGGCAGCAACCCGGCCCCTGGCTCAAAAAGGTTGCCTACCCCTGCTATGGAGTGTGAAGGGAATAGGTGGGAATCCAGGGCAAATCGGGGGTCACAACACTGTACTATACTATGCTATACTATACTATACTATACAGCCCAAAGTGTTCTGGACAGTGTAGACAAATCCCAAGTAATTTTAACAATTTTTTCCCATTGCAAGAAAGTCTTTCAAAACCATGCCATTTTCAGAGACTATTCACAATCCAGGGCTTGTTCTGTACAAGATTCATGCCATGGTTGTTTTGCACAGAAAATTGTATTTTCTGGCTCTCAACTTTGTTGTAAGGGAAAAGTGAGGGGTGCTTTCCTCGTCCTCCACCTTGTGTGCATGCTTTGCTTGTTGTGTGTGTTTTAGTCGAGGGCGTGCTGGGTGTGATATATGTGCAGTGGAGGCTGGTGGCATCAATGTTTATTTATTGATCGCACTTGTCTCCAGGCTTTCTCTCAAAATGGGAGGCAGTAGGATGGTGATTTTAGTCCAAACTTTAAAATAGCCTTCTGAATACATCACATAGACTACTTGTCCTGACATGGGAGCCATCAGCAGCCATTCAGTGCTTGCTTCACTTGGTTTCCTTATTAGGCTGCATCAGTAGAAGTATAGTGTCTAGATCAAGAGAAG